TAAATAATATTACTGGTAAGTTTTATTTATTCATAGTAACAGAGATTTTGCATTACAGTTTGTTCAACTTGCTACACAAGTTCATTTTTAAACACAACCGATACACTGCAGCAGAATATGTACAAATTTTAGTATGCTCTAAACATATGCATTATTTAAACATTAGCTGAATGGCAAATGCAGTACACAAATAAGTTGAATACGCTTTTTCATTTTATTTTGTAATGTCCTAGCAGGTCTGCATCCAGTGAAAGTAATGCTGACTTCTGCATCACTTTGCAATTTTGTGTATAATATTTTATGAATAAAAGAAGTAAATACTTAGAGAGTGTAACACCAACAACAACAGAAGTTCAATCTTAATCATTCTTCCAGTGAGATTTCACATACAATTTTGGTCCTGGCATGTTTTGAGTAACTGTACACATTGAACTTTCCAGGCAGAATAAAGCTTCCTGTGCACACTGTGCAGACTTTTTTATAGTTAAAATTAATTCAATATTTAACTGCATCTTATGACCATAAAACCATCTGTTTTGTGTTTTTCCACAGCAAAGAGAACCCCCATCAAGCCACAAGAGTTTCATCAAGTAAGTAACAAATCTGTTGTGACAAAAGGCCATATTCAGTCCAACCCACCACAAATTATATCAGATTGATGTATTAGAAAGATGCAACATTGCCTTTTTTTTCTTAAACCTGCATAAATATTTGTTATTAAGCAATATAAGCACATTTATTATTATTTTTTAGATTTGACTCAGTTGAAATCTTAGCACCTCAGTGTCATCTGGCTATATGTGTGCACTTTGTCACAAAACAAGAACAACTGAAATGTGTTTAAGTTATATGATAGGAACATATGTTTCTGAAACAAGATGAGTTGTATGTAAACACTGAAACACTGTTATTGTGAAGTTAAAAAAAAAAACTGCTGATGAGTCAGTGTGATGACGCAAACCACTGGAAATAGATATGAGCCTGAGTAGTAAGGTGCATGCAGGTTCTCTTTGTTCTTTGAAATCATCTGAACTGCGCTAATATGTTGTCAAAATTTGTAATATGCTATTGTGACTGGCTTCACGTATAGCTTCACTGATAAAGTGGTGTGTTTGCATTTTTCAGGTCAAGACGGAGAGTACGGCTTAGAAAGCGAAGAAGTCTTTTTGACACCTGAAGATGAAAACCCCCTCAGGAGAATACTGCAGGTATACAGCCTCAATATTCTTCCCTCCCTATCTCCAGCACATTCAAATGCGCACACTCTGAAACACACAAGCAAAAACCGAGCATGCTCACTCAGCCACACTGCATGACCTTGGATGAAGGAATAATGTTGGTCTCATATTCACCAGAGGTAAAAACATCATTACCACCCACACACAGGACCACTGAGATTGAAAATTAAATCCAATCCTCTGGAATGGTTTACAGGCTTTTATTTCAGTTTTAAATACACCCAAATGTGTTTTAAACTACCATACTGTGTACTTGTAATGTTAACATAAAATGTAAGTGTTCTTCAAATATGTTCTACTGTAAAAAGGTCACACTGAAACAGTGATTGTGCGTATACCATAACATGTAATGTAACCTTATACCAGAAACTGTCCAGATGACTTGATTGAACCCTTTTTTGTGGTAACCTTATACCATTTAGTGACAGTAAACTTTGAGTAAATTACTTAAAAAAAAAAAAACTACAGTAGGCATTCTTTCTCTGCCATCTAATGTAAACTCAAGCATCAAATCATCTCTGACTCTCTGACTCTGACTCTGATCTCAGCCACTACACATCATTGTACGCAGATTCAGAAAGCTCATGTTCTCCATATATTGCTCTTTCCATATTTGAGCTTCAAGTGGTGGCTGGAACACTGAACTTTTTGAACTGCTGACATTTTATGACCACGCAAGCTGGTGAGCTGAAAAGTCAGCTCAGGTTGTTTTTCAAAATAGTTTTGGAAATTAAATGACACAACATGAACATCATTGAAGGCCTCTGGGATGTTTAACTAAGCACGCTTATTAGATATATAGTAGAAAACGAGTAGGAAGGACAATGATACGCTGAAATCTACACATCAATGAATGCCCTAGAATATTGACATGTATCACCATACCATAAACACAGTTTGCTAGTAAATCACCACTGTATTCTCAGGTACATTAACTTAAAAACCATTAGAATTTGGGATCATTCATGTGGAACTTATTCAGATTTTGGTGGGCAGCTGTCATTACCCACTTTTGCACAAGTTGCATGAATGCACAGACCACTGGTGGTACTCTGGTTAACTGTTACTTCACTGCAAGGTTTCCGGTTTGAATGTCAGCTCCCCCATGCCTTTCAGTGTGGTGTTTGTATGCTACCCCTTTGTATGCATTGGTTTTCTTCAGGTACTCCAGTTACCTTATTCAGTTCAAAACACGAACATTCAATTGACTTGCGATGGGTGTGAGTGTGTGGGTGCGTGTCTGTGTCACATGTCTCTGTATTGTCATGTTTCCTGCTGGATACATAAACCAGCTCCCTGTGACCCTGAACAGGAATAAGCAAGTCAGAAAAGTGAGAAGTCTCTGAATGAGACAAAGCCAGATGTCCTCTAGATTGTAGTCAAGGGATGCAACACTGTTGTACCTCATACACTGGGTGCATGTTCATTGCAGTTTCTTTCCTCTTTCTGACTGAATTCCATTTCTTTATATATTTGCAGCCTTTTAAATGGCACCAATCTGGGATGGCTCTCAGTAAAAGGAAGCTTCTACAGTCTCTGATGGGACCCTATGGCCCACTCAGTGTGTCTTACAATGGGAAGCCTTGCATTTTGTTCAAGGCAAAACGCCTGGCAATCCGCTACAGGAACCACACGTTCATAGATCTAACGGAGAAGGTCTTCAGTCCCAACTCACCAGTGGACACTAAAGGCTCCATCTGCACCAAGGATAAAGCTACGTAAGTCCTAACAAACCAGCTATGCTGAAGGAATGTCTTAATGCTTTTATTATGGCAAGATGGACAAATTTGGTGCGCAAGACAGTTTATGCATTTAGAATATTGACAAGTTGCTCCTTTTTTGTCAAACAATTAACTACAAATAAATTAAGAAACACTTAGTTCAACATGCAAATATACTAAGTGTCATATTTTCCATTTTAGAGTGTGGTAAATATTTAATATGTTGGCTTTTCTTTGTCATAGGCTTTCCTTAAAGTTTGGTGATGTGGAGGATTTGCGAAGCCTAGTAATCAGGTAAATAGGTCTAAATCAAAGACTTTTACTGACAAACATTTTCAAAATATCTACTCACAAATTCTCCTTTGATCAAATTACAACACTTAGCCAAAAAGCGCACCTATAAAGATTAACTAAAAGCACTGTCTCCTCCACCAGGCTTCAGATGTCCAACACTTTTTATGAAGCAGCGGGTCAAAACTGGTTCACACTGGACAGTGTTCACATCCAGTACAACTGGACCCAGGAGGCTACATTCAACGCTAGTGAGGTCTACGCTCCTGCCACCTCATCCTACCATTGCCAGCACGTCAGCAGCCTGCACAAATATGACACCCTGCTAGTGCCCAGCTCCCACACTGACACATCTGCTAACTGGCACATAACTTTCACAGATTTCCAGGTACACTGTTGCACAAGAGGCACAGCTTTTATTGTGTGACTTTTGTAAAAATGTCAGCATGCTCACTTTTTGCTGTATTGTTTTCCCCGTATTCCTATGCTGTTTGTGTGCATGCACTTGTATATCTGCCAGCTATTTCCTTTGGTGCTTCATGTGTTTGGCTGACAGTCAGTCAGTTAGTTTACTGTCTATTTGGCAGTTTGCCAATTTGTCTTTATGCTGTCTATTTAGCCATCTGCTAGGATGTCTCAACCTGTCCATCTGTCCAGTGTCTCTGTGCTTGGTAAGCCAAGTAAGAGCCAGTTGTCCTATTTGCCTCATCCTAATCTCATCTTTCCGCCTGCCCTTTGCTTTTCCAGATCCAAGCTTTCAATGTGCAGTCAGACAAGTTTGCGTCGGCCAGTGACTGTGCTACTTTCTTGACGCCAGCTATCCTGATGGGCTTGGTGACATCTTTAATCCTGCTCCTTGTCTTAGCCTATGCTCTGCACATGGTGGTACATCTCAAGCACATTGATCGCTATGAGGAGCACAAAGCCACCGTCTACTTTCCCCGCAGTCCAGAGGCAGAGTTACCAGACAAAAACAGCCTGTGAAGGAGCATGAGGAGCCTGAGGATGATTGAGGAAAGATGGGAAAAGAGAAAGAAGAAAGGCTCCATGGAGAGCAAATGACAACAAGATTGAAAAGCTATCCTCCACATAATTTGTTCCACAAAAAGACACATTTGCTTGTTCATGTGACATTTTATGTCTTAACTACTTTAAAAAAAGCAAAGAAGTGGCTGGATACTTTTTCTTCTTTCCTCATTGACCTGCATCTCCTTTGGACATCCAAACTTCTCCCACAATCGGCTTATTGCCCGATGTCCAAGATCAGCGACTGTCCCGGGGTCCTGAAGGGTAACAACATCTACAAGATTTTGTCCAATCCAGCCCCTAAATCAAGAGGCTTACAATTGTAGCTAATACAGCTAACTCAGATGCTCCAGCTTAAATGTATGTATCACATGGCTCACAAGTGTCATATTACAAGCATCAATCATGGACATTGTCTTTCTAGCTTTCATTAGAGTATACTTTGTCTAACAATGCTGCAAGAATTTTAAACTTCAAATAGTCAATTTTATAGCTGAGATAGCCTTATTAGCTGCATGTCCTAAAAATAGTCAGGTCTAGTAGAGATTCCTATATTTAGGGATACAGAGGGATACTTGCTTGAGATTCAGATTAAATAACTCAATATGGCACAAAGTTAAAGGAGATGGAAAAGCCTTGGTGTGTAAGTAGTGTGAGTATTGGGAACCACTGGTCCAATATCTGGATGAAATGAATGGATCAACACAAATGGCCCTTTAGAGCCACTGGCTTTTTTCACCACACCCTAGAACAGGACTGCTGCTTGGAACTTAACTGTGAAATGGCCTTCAACAGACCAAACAGACACATGGGAGTCTACAAACTAGCACAACAATTGTTAGTAGCAAAAGCTCTAACAATAGACTGTAAAAGACTATTTACAGGGAACTATGCTGCATAAGACGGCCCGTCTAAGGGCATGGCAGTGAATGCAAGTTTTGGGATGCCACATCTTGTTCGGGTCAATGGTTCGGACATGGGAGGAAGCAGGTCTTCATTGGACCACTGGAACTGACTGCCAAAGTAAAGCTACAACTGAGTTGCCATAACATATGGTGAGAGACAGAGTGAGACAATGTGAAAATGAAAGTTAACCATTACAGCTATGTAAAAAAAAAAAAAAAACAGAAACAAACAAACAAACAAACAAAAAATAAATAAATGAAACTCACACCACGCATTCATGTACAGACGTTTCACTTTGCGAAGGTCTTTTTTTTATATTCAGTGTTATCATGAAAAACTGTTAGGTACAGGCTGAAATTACTAGATCTCAAAAACAAAAGGATGTATCAAAACTGTAAATATATAAAGATCTCTTTGATCATATCCGTTAACTATCTCCAGTAACTGCACAACTAATACAAGTACAATTGTGCTATGGGAATTGGTTAACGAATCAATGCATACAATTTTTTTCTATAAGGATTAACATGTTACACCTTCTTCCTATTTGAGCTGGACCAGACAGTGTAAGGCTCAGTTTCATTTAACTGTAAATTACAGTCCAAATTTTTACCATAGACAAAAGATACTATGGAATGCTATTTTCCCACAGGGACCTATAAACTCCATTATTGTGCCAGAAGCCACACTAGCAGCAGTAACAGCATCAGTAAGTGATTACTACTGATTAAAAAACACTCAGCATGACAGTAAATAGATATCTTAACATTTGATATGGCAGTTCTGTCAGTCTGTAGCAGTGTGAAATGTGTTCATGGTCATAAATGTATCCAAAAACTTTGAATTGATTGGAGGCAGTTTGTCCAAGGACAAACTGATGTAAAATGAACAATAAATGATATTCTAAGGGAAAGGTCTGTTGGGTTTTTATATTTAAACACTTTGATGCACTTTATGCATACTGGTAATGTGTATTTATTATTATTATGTTCTTGGGTTTTCTGTTCTAAATAATTTTTCTGTGTTTTTCCAGAGCTGACATTAAACCACAGCTGACTAAAATAATGTTTTATTTTTATGAAGGCCACATTGCCATGACAGCAAGTCAAGAAACAACCTGTACAAAACATCTCTTCTTTATTCCGACACATTTGTCTGTAATAATAAAAAAAAAGAGTTTGATGCATTATGTAGATTCTAACTAAAAAAAAAAAAAAAGTCAATGATTACAGATTTGCAAACCTGTACCTGGATCCTGCGCTGGCTCTATTTCTCTCATGGTGCTATCTGGTTTTTCCTTTTATCTCTTTGTCCAAATATTTTTATTTTCTCCATTAAACTGGAACAGTATTAAACATGTTGGTGCTTACATCTTTTGCAGGAACAGACATGTGTGAAAATGTCATAGAGTAAACTCAAATTTTAATTTAATCACTCTCCATTGATCTTCTAATGCTTATCAATGGTCAGCTTGTGGAAGTAGCAGGGAAGATAAACACAGACATCCCTGGCCCCACTGACACTCTCCAGCTCCTTCTAAAGGATCCCAAGGCACTCCCATGCCAAAGTGGATATATAACCCCTCCAGCGAGTTCTGAGTCTGCCTCTGGGGCTCCTTCCAAAGGGAAATCTCCAAACCAAGGTACCTGATCAGATGCCCGAATCACCTCAATGGACTCCTCTCAATGAAAAGCAGCAGTGGCTCTACTCCTAGCTCCCCGGATGATGGAGCTCCTCACCTTATCTCTACGGCTGAACCTGGCCACCCTATGTTCTTTCAGTCATGAAACATGCCTCATAACAATAGATGAGGGTTAGAATTCAGATTAACTGAAAAATCAAGAGCTGAGCCAAAAGATGAAGCTCTTTCTGGTTTCTGATCCGTTGATTCATCTCACTCTCCATAACTCATGTACAAGACTTCCAGATACTTTAACACCTCTGTTGGAGGTAAAGACTCATTGCCAATCCAGGGGCAGCATTCTCACGTTTGTGATCCAATGAATGTGTTCCAGAGAAAGGAATGTATGTTTGGTTGTAACAGTGCTGATCTTACCATTTGGAGCTTTGTGCTTTGAGCTTGTTATAAGCCAATTATTCAATAGTAGTTTTCTTAATATTAAAATATTATTGTATATAATTATATATAATTGAAGCATGGTTGAGTTACATCATTGTAAGCTATCAGTATCATTCTCCTTCAAGTGAAATGTTTTAATGTATTATTTCAGAACCTTTTGGGGAAATTTCTGCTGTGAGTTTTAAACATTACCAGTCTTTACTGGTAGTGCTTACATGACTTTACCTTGAAAAAACAACAACAACAACATGACTACTTCCCTCACCAATTAGCAGCCTGTGTCAGGTGTTTTCTAAATGTGAAAACTAAAATAACTTGACATAAAACTGATACCACTCTCTCTGTTCTGAGATTATGGCATTCCAGCTGTGTGCAGAGTTGGTCTGGATTTGTGACGAATGTGAACTATTTTCAGTGGTGAATGGGGACCTCTGGTGGTTGCAGCTGCTGAATTACATTTGAATCATTACAGAATGAAATCTGGGTTCACGACTACATACGCAATGGTTTTACTTCTCTTATTGCTGTCATTGTTGGAAAAGGTTTAACTAAAAACAATAAAATCAATCAATAATAAGTGATTTAAATCTAAGTTAAGCTGATAAAACCAAAGGAATGTTGTTTTCAAATAGAAAGTTGGTGCCAACAGTTCTATGTCATCCATGTATCACGATTCTTACAAATACTTGGGAATTTTAATTGATGTACATCTCTCCTTTAAGCCACATATTGAAAACATTTTGAAAGAAGCTGAAATTGAAAAAGGGTTTCTTTTTCAGAAATAGATCTCGTTTAACTCCGATTGCCAGGAAACACCTTGTTGCTGCAATTTTCCTATACCGGCCACTGATTAGAGTGACATTATTTACATGGATGCTCCTGCCAGCTCCTTGCAGATGTTGGGTACTGTCTACCATGACGCACCAAGGTTCATAACAGGTTGTAAATACCCTACCCATTACTGCACTCTGTACTCTTTCGTCAGCTGGTCATCATTATCTACATGTAGGCTCTCACACTGGTTCATTTTCATCTATAAATCCCTCCTTGTTCTGCTGCGTTCTTATATCTCCTCCCACACGTCATGCTGTCAGTGCAGCTACAGCGTGCACTCTCAGGCCTTCATTACCTGCAGCGTTCCCTCAGCGTGGACTGAACTTGGCAACAAGGTCTTTTCTTCCTGTAACCTGGAACACCTTGCAACAACATCTGAAGCTGTCCACCTTAATTTCTTTAAGAAATTTTAAACATTTGACAATGTCACTAGAAAATTCAAAGTAAATGTGTTCTTGTTTTTAGAATTTTACCTTGATTCATATGGCACTTTCATTTTATTTTTTTTAATAAAACTTTTTTTTTTAATTGCTTTTATATTGTTGTATTTTTTTGTCTGTATGTTGCACTTTCTAAGAAGAAGGAGGACATCTGGTGCTTTTCAGGTGGTTTTATTGCCTCACCACAAGGCACACAGCTTCCACACTGGTTTGTTTTCTTCTTCCCTCATCTCTGTGCACACTCACAAACATTCAACTCACCACAAGTGATGCCCACTGGTGGCGTAAAAGTGCCACTACATGCAAAGTGTAACATTGAGGTTTTGGATATCTCAAAGTTTTAGTACAGAGTACAGACTAAATATCAAACTATTCATTATAAAACCATACAATAAAACAAACATATGGGGGGTGTCCACATTTTACGAATAGCACTAAAAATTACCCTTTGCCACACAGGGCCAGATTAACACTTCGCTGTGCCCTGGGCAACAATCTTCAAGGGCCCCATCATCACAACCCCAGAATCACTATAATCTGGCAAAATACAGAATAAATTACCATGATATACAGTAAATATACTTAAAAGTCTAACTATCAATTGTATTTTTATGTATAAAACTCCAAATGCTCATTGACACAAACCATCAAGACTGAATTAAGTTGAATACACTTTGAACACCACATGACACCATATGTGTACTTGTTTAGTAACATGTTGGCCACTGGTGTCAGAGCATTTATAATGTGTGTGGAGGGACACACTGATGGGGGTGTCTGGGGGTCCTCCCCCAGAAAATTTTGAATAATTAGATGCCATTTCCTGCATTCTGGTGTATTTTAACAGTTGTTTAACATCTAGTTTTACCTACATACGTAAACACTGGGAAGGCCTTGGGGTTCCCCTGGAGGAGCTGGTCCAAGTGGCTGGGGAGAGGGAAGTCTGGACCTCCCTACTTAGGCTGCTACCCCCGCGGATGAATGGAAGTAAACACTTGATTCAGTAACTATTTTAGAGCTAATGGCACAACGAGAAGTAACCTGACCAACAGCTGATTCAATTAATTAAAATATTATAAATTCAAAGGTGACGATTTGATGCCCAAATTAAAATTAAATATCTGTAACTTAGTTGACTTCAAATGAAATAAGATTATCAATGAATGTTTGTGACAAAGGATTTACCGAGTATAATAGATTCCTTCAAGAAATCTCCCAATATAAATCATAAAACCAGAATGATTTCCGCTCATTCTAAATTTGTCAAATGGCCTAAATCTCCTAAAATGAAGGAGAATCGTTTTAAAATAATAAATAAGATATATCCTGTAGCCATGTTTCTGCAAAGAAGATTTAAATTTGAGGTTAATTTGCGTGCCTTTTGTAAATCAGAAGATGAATCCCTCAAGCAATTTTTTTTTTTTCATGTCAATACAAAGTGTTTGGTCAAACATCAGAAACTGGATTAATTTCAAAATTAACAGTCCTTCTTTTCATGCTGATGCCATTTTACTTTCTGTGGATAAGTTAAGCTCAGCTTTCTCTGATGCCATAAATATAGTCATAGTTATGGCAAAGTACCACATTCACTGTACTTTGTAGTAAGAGGAGGGATAATAAGTCCTCCTTCCTGTTTGATGAACGATTTTAAGTCATACTATTCTTCATTAAGTAGAATAAAAATCTGCAAAACTGCTAAAATCATCTCACAACAGATGCAAACTTATTGTTTTAATTAAACAATGGGCAGTTGCCCAGTTGCCCATATGGTTAAAAAATAAAATAAAATAGAAAATCAACTACGAACTTTACACCATACTACGACTATAACTTTGCACCATATTATGAAATATAACAACAGTGCTTGCAAGTCTTGTTTCAATCTGAAATAAAC